TGTTTTATCCTCTCCCCCCCCCCCCCCCCCCACTCTGGTACTTGAGACAACAGTCGAGCCAAGTGACGAGGTGTTCGAACACCTTCACCAACCTGTAGGAACTTTCCATAGAAGAGGAAAGCAGTGGAGGACCTGCTGACTTAGGAAGACCTCTCTCCCCACACACACTCTTTGTGGTATCCTGATCATCATCCCCAGATGAGATGTTGATGGGCTCATCCCTGTGGGGATGTTAAATTTAGATTAATCAACTAATTGAATAGTTGATGGAGTTTCCATTGATTAGTTGGTGAGGGTTTCTCTGCCTTTGAAATGTAGCAAGAGCCTCTCTGGCTCTTGCTACATTTCAAAGGCAGAAGCACCATGGGGAACATGGGGCAAGTGTACATTTCAAAAGCAAAGTGTGCAGGGAGCTCAGAGCCAGTGGGGGGTGCTTGAGATGCACACTCACACCGTGCTCCCTGCGCCACTTCTGCTTTTAAAGTGTAGCAAGAGCAGGACTCTTGCTATATTTCAAAGGCAGAAGCACCACCAGTCCCCTGCTGTGCCCGTGCCATCCCCCCATGGAGACAGTACTGAGGGAAACCAGCTTTTAAGCCAGCTCCCCCCAGCACTGGCTCCTACTCCCCCTCTCTGCGCCTCTCTGACAGAGGCAGCAAGGGGGGGGAAGAAAGTGATTAGTTGAGTCACTAGTTGACTCTCCGATAAGCATATGCTTATCAGATAATTGACTAGTTGCTTACAACCCTGTCCATGTCTTTGATGGACTCTTGTGCCCAGCAGGACCTTCTTCTGTGGGAGGCCCCAAACCATAGTCTCCAGGTGGTGGAGGTAGATGTCCTCTCACCTGAGTGTCTGGCAAATGTCACCCTTCCTATTCCCAAGATGATCTGGATGATCACCAAGGTCTTGTGGCAGACATCCGCATCCATTGTGCCCACAGCCAAGGATGTGGAGAGGTAATACTTTGTGCTGCAGCAGGACTACAAACACTGCTTCACCTACTTCCAGCCAAGGGCTCTTGTAATTGATGCTCTGAACCATAAGGAGTACCAAAGGTAGCCCGGGGCCCACCACCAAAAAAAAAAGTGCCAGTCCTGCTTGGGTTTAAGGTATATTCCACTAGTGATCTCCAGCTCAGGGTATCAAGCCAACAGATGCTCCTTAGTCAAAATGACTTTAATTCCTAGGATGTTCTTTTGAAATTTCAAGAGCTTTTGCCTTCAGATGTGAAGCAGGAATTTGCGGCAATGGTATAGGAGGGCCACACAGTGTCTAAAACAACACTGCACGCAGCCCTGGATGCAGAAGACTCGGTAAACTATATGATGGCTATGGGGATTGCCATGAGGCATAACTTTTGGTTGAAGTCCAGTGCACCATCCGGGACTATTTGCAGAGAAAATGGTTTTCCATCTCCACAATTTGAAGGACCCCAGGGTTACACGTCAAACCCTGACTATCCATATGCCTGCCCCACTTATTTTTGCCTGGTTCTCCCAGGCAAGACCAAGGATGTCATAGGGGTTGAACCAATATCAGGAGGGGACCTCCTTGATCTTCCTTCAGCCAACACTAGGGCACCTCTAAACAACCTCCCCCTCAGGCCAAAGTCCCAATTTTGAGGTTTCTCTGCAGGACAGAGCACCAGACCCACTTCTGGATTCTGTCCCTCCCTTTGGGAACAGTTTGTCCCACTTTCACCGTGTATTGTCACAGAACACCTTGAAACAGTGAGTCCTAAACACACTAGAAGTAGGATACTCTGTCCAGTTCCATTACTTCCCTTCCTACAAATCTCCCATCCCCATCCCTCTTCAGGGATCATTCTCACAAGCACCTTCTGATACAAGAGGTCTAGTTGCTCCTCACACTAGGAGTGATAGAGGAGGTTTCTTGGGAATTCAGAGCAAGGGGGTTCTATCGCTGATACTTCCTTATCCCCAAGTCCAAAGGGGGTATACATCCTATCTTGGGCCTCAGAAACTTTAACCCCTTTATACAAAAACTTCTTTGGTTCTATATGGTCTCCCTGGCCTCAATTTGTCACTTCCCTGGATCCAGGGTACTGGTATGCTACCCTCAATCTTAAGGCCACATGTTTTCACATAGATTATTCCTGTGTTTTCTTGTGGCAGGCAGACCTTACCAGTTAACAATGTTGACATTCGGCCTGGCCTTGACACCTTGAGACTTTATGAAGTGCATGGCGGTGGTGGTGGAAGCATTTTTACATTATCAGTGGGTGCAGGTCTTCCCGTACCTTGATGATTGGTTGATCAAGGGTGGGTTGAGTGACCAGATGTTTAAGCATATGGACCTGGTCAAAAACATGTTTACTTACCTGGGCCTGATTTACAATATGCCTAAATCAACTGATGGGCCTACACAGAGAATCAAGTTCATTGGGGTCCTTCTCAATTCTACATAGATGACAGCATCCCTGCCTGAGTCCTGTTTTCAGACCATGGTGAGCTTCATCTTGGAACTGCATGAGGCTCTTGGGGCACATAGCTCATGCATGTACGTTCTCAAGTATGTCTGTGTCTGCCTGCTCCCACTCCAAACATGGCTGGCATTGGTGTTCATGATGTGCAGGAACATAGTTGACCAAGTGTTCACTGAGCCACCAGTGACCTCGATTGATGGACACAGCCCCAGATAATGTTTGTGAAGATATAGCCAGAGGTCACTATGGTGACTAAGAATGAGAATGGTTAACTGGTTAGACAGTAGGGGCCGGAGCAGCTGCCTGCCTGCTGCGCTGCAGCCCACTTCCCCTTTAATTGGTTAACTGATGAAATGCTCCACGCAAACTGCTGGTAAGTCACATATTGAAATGCACATGAGCAATCACTCAAAGAAAGAACGGTTACTTACCTTTGTAACTGTTGTCCTTAGAGATTTTGCTCATGTCCATTCCAGTTCAACCCACCTCCCCTCTGTTAGAATGTTCCCGCAAGAAGGAAGCAGAGTTAGGTTTCCAGGGCTATATATGCAATGTCGTGAGGCATCACCACTGGGGATGCTACAACTGAATGGGTAGCACTAAGTCTTCCAGTGAAGCACTTGCGTGTGCGTACACACACACACACTGGAATGGATGTGAGCAACACATCTTGAAGAGCAACAGTTACAATGGTAAGTAACCATTCCTTATTAGTTTTATTACCATTGTTCTTTGTGCTGCCTTGACAGTGTGGAATTTACGTATGTATGGATTTTTCCAATAAGCAAAATTGTTCTTGATAATAAATATGTAACTGTTAATATCTCTGAGGTATTTTGGACTGCTGCAAATTGTTAGTGGGCTTGAACATTTTGTGATAAAATCATAATAGTTGGACATGTGAAAGGACTATCACATCAAGTCTATCCTGAAACTACTTTAAGTGATACTTCCTTACAACGCACTTGTTCTTAGACAAACTGACAAAACGGACAAACAAAATCAAGAAATGTATCAAAAAAATTGTAAAGTAATCTTTCTTTCAGACTAAAAGAAGAGTTTCATGGGATGGGGTTTTTTTTTCTGAAAAATATTTCCCCCTATTATCAGATGGTTTAAATAGTCTAGGAACATTTAACCATGTCATTCATAATAAGAAACCTATATAATACATTGAAGCATCTGTGGACAGGGTTTTTTGTGTGTGCACCTGAAGGTGGAGGGTTAAGGATTGTAAGATGGATGCTTCCTAGAAGATAATGAACATTAAGTAATCTACAGCTCTTAAATTAACTTGTCTGTTACACCAGAAATATGTTCTTTGTATCTTACATTTAACCATGTCATTCATAATAAGAAACCTATATAATACATTGAAGCATCTGTGGACAGGGTTTTTTGTGTGTGCACCTGAAGGTGGAGGGTTAAGGATTGTAAGATGGATGCTTCCTAGAAGATAATGAACATTAAGTAATCTACAGCTCTTAAATTAACTTGTCTGTTACACCAGAAATATGTTCTTTGTATCTTCCCCTTCTCTTTCGCTCCCCTCCCTATTTTTCCCTCCTATCATGCGTGCATACATCAAGTTCAGCCTCTGCAGGCTGTGAGAAGTTAATGTAATAAATTTTGTTCCATAACTTTCATGTAATTGGGTTGTTTTTTTACTTTTTTGTTTTCTTTAATCCCCTTCAGGCAGCCAAGGGCAGTTTCCACTCACACAGAATGTTACAGTTGTTGAAGGGGGAACAGCAAATTTGACCTGCAGGGTTGATCAAAATGATAACACCTCCCTCCAGTGGTCAAATCCAGCTCAACAGACTCTATACTTCGATGACAAGAAAGGTGAATATATTTTCTTCAATAATTTTGAAATGTATTATGAGACATAATGAATATTTTAATTAGACCGATCATTCATTTATTCCCACACTGCTTTAACACAACTGTATTTATGTTAATGTTTTTCAGCGAGTTAGGCATAAACTTTAAAGAGTACTTAATTTTCAAATACACAATTCTTCTCTCTCTTTGAAGATATTTTTAATATATATGTTGATTTCTTATGTAATTTTCATTGCTTTCATTAAGTGGTCGGAGAAAAAGAAAAACATTTTCGTGATTATTGCAAATTGAACTGGAAATCCTTGTTCAGATATTTTGAAGGACTAATTAGAGGGCTATGTGAGAAGGAGAAGCAGTAGTCTGTAAGCACCATATCTTCTCTTGTTGGAAAGATAAATTTTGCTTAGGTTTATTGGAGTTTGTTTGTTTATATTTTTTAAACCATTGGTGTGCAGTTACCATCATATGATTATTCATCCAAACTACTGTTCAAGTAGTTCACTTATATTTACTGTCGTAGCTTTACTATGACATGATTACATGATTCACAGCTTGTTTTGAGGTGCTGGCCTACCCCGATGAAAAAAAATAGGAACAAATTCTATTCCTTTTTATAAGGCAAACTTTGCTGAATTAGTAGGGTTTGCTGCCAAGATTTGTGCATCCATCTGACTTGAATAAGACAAGAGATGTATCGTTTGTGGTAAAACATTAACAAGAGAATACGTTTAGATTTTGTAAGTAAAAACATTTGCGATTTCATAAAATCTCTATTTGGCTTCAAAACTGCACTAACCTTGATGTTGACTCCAGCAGTAGCCAAGCTTGGTGGAGTTTATATTTAATCCTTCAGCGAGGACTCAGTTCTGCAAAATACTGAGCACTCTGGCTCATAGCCAGCAAATGGGAGCACTCAGGAGCTTTAACTTAAGCACTGATTAAGTGCTTTATTGTATGATGGCAAAGGTGCTTAGCATCTTGCAGGATCACGCTTGAAGAGCAGGTTTCATGTGGATCTGTGTACTTGATTAAAAACAGATTTGAAAAGCAGTTGTATTCTGTCTACAGAACTTGCAATCAAAATGTTTTCAAAATGAGGAGGTTTCATTGCTTCTAATATTATTGACAAAACAGAATCTAATTAAGATACTGAAATGGTTCCTGTTTCCTTTTTATAGCGTGTGTGTGTGTGTTTTTTTTTGTAATGTGTAATCATTTGATTTGTAATTTCCTTTAAGTCTTCAGTATATGAAGATTACTGAATGTTGGATGTGGAAGATGAATGTTGGATTAAAGATACATAATGAAGGATTTACATTGTGTTAATGTTCCTAAACCCAGTCCTGCAACCCTTACTCATGTGAGTAAGCCCACTGATTTTTCAAAAGTAAGGAATACTTACATAAGTAAGAGTAATGGGTTTGAATTTTTTCACAGAAGAAACAATATTGAGGCTGTCTATATACTGAAGAACATTTAAAAGATTCTAGGAATAAAAGAAACAGGTTAATTTCATGTATGAATGTGTTCTGGCAAGAGTTAAATGTACTGCATGAAGTAGAAGTTCACTAGGAATACTTAGTAATATGTCTCTTAAAATAAACTGCAGCAATAGCATTTCTGAGCAGCTTGTTGCATAGTAAGTTATTGTGAGTAATTTATGTTCTCTACAGAAGACAGGAGGCTAAAGTAAACTTAAAGAACAGTAGTTTTCATTGAACTTTAAGTTCTGTCCTAAGGCTTTGAGGAATATGTGAGGATTTATTCAGAGGAGCTACTGTGCTTCTGTAGCATAGGAAAACTGCAAAATTGATTCAGAAATATGCTTGGTCCTTAAATCATGCATATTCGACTATATTACGTTTATAAGGCATTACATCCTGTTCACGTGACACTCCCATCCTTGACTAATGGGGGCAAGTGAGCAGCAGTTTGAAATGTCATGCAGAAGTCATTGCCACTCTCTCCCACTTCTTCAACTCAATTAATGGTTTCACAGCCTTAATCAGCAGCTCTGTTGTGTGTGCTTCCACTTATACCTGAAGGAAAGATGCTTCCCTTACAAAATGTTTCCCTTTTAGGCCTTGTGTTAGAATGGAATTCTATCTCTGAAAGCTTAGAAGGATATCCTCAGAGACAGGATATCCAGGGCTGAAGCAGAAGTTTGAGTCCAAGACCTCTTCTCTTCTTACAGGCAATACATTTGGATATTGCTTTCTCTTACATGCAGTAGATCTGCTTTATCCATTGATTCCAGAACCCAGATGTTCAGAGCTTTCCATTAGTTTTGGCCTTTCCTGTTTGAGACCTCTTGTCTCCCTTTGTGGCTATGTAAACCTCCTAGTAGAGTTGTGTTTATCAGACCCATAAAATCAGTGAAAAGGATTAGGTGGTGACACAGACAGACAACTCTTTTGGGAACTGGAGCTATGAAGCTCACACCTATGGGAGATTAGAATGACTGCAGAACCCGCCACATTCAGAAGTCAATTAAAAAATCAAATATGCTATTGACTTAACCTTCCATCAGTAAATGATGCAACATCACCCCTCACACAACCATTAACGAATCAAGCTTTTTGATTGGCTGGAAGAAAGAGAGAGATTGCTATTGTTTCTGTTTTTAAATTCTTGGAAGATGCTTAGGTACTAAGATGGTGGGGGGCCAGATGAGTATCAAATACATGGCTGGTGGATATAGCAGTAGGAGAGTAACAGCATGCAATAGGACATGTTTCAGAAGTAGAAAAGTTACCTGTGGATGGGAAGGTCTGAAATGCCCTCTTCAGGGTGCTATTCTTCATGAAGGCCCAAATGTTTGCAAAACCTAGGATTACCAGATAGTGACATAAAGGAACCTTGATCTGGGCTGTCTCATTCAAAGACAATTTCTGATGATAAAAATTCATGTTGAATGTAAATGTAGTGTATTTTTGTGAACTAAATCAGTGAAGTATTTGAGAGAGCATTTTTCACTTGATTTAGGACAATAGGATTAGAAGGAAGGAGAGGGTAACATTGTTGAATTCACCTAATGGTACTATGCACCTAATGGTACTATTATTCAAGGCTTGTCTAAAGGACCACTAAATGAATCTACCCCACATTGTGGTATTCACTAAGTAGCTCCATGGACTATGCTGACACACACTTCCTGTTCCCTAGTGTGCTTTAATTTACTCCCATTTCAAAGTGTGATAGTCCAAATGGATGGAAATATGTTTAGTGCACAATGGCAGGGTCCACACAGAGAATTAACATATGACAGGCAAGTGTGGGGTAGATTTACACAATAGCTTGCAACAAAACAAGTGGCCATTTAGATGAGCACTGGTAGATGTCCAAACTTTGTAAGACTGAACAAGTAGTCAGTTTGATCTCAAAGATGTGTTGCTAATTAGTTTTCCTGTAGCTGTCTCTTGAAATCTGATTTATAAACTTGGTCATGTCTGTCTGAGTCTCCCTCTTTCTAGAATAATGTAAGTGATACTATTTCCTAAATTTTATAAGCTTGTAAACAAAACATGGGAAAATATTAGACTGGGATTCTGTTTTTAACTTGATTTGTCCTTGTACCTCTGATTCTAGTGTCTTTGGTCAAGGCACTTAACAGATGTCTTCATTTTTCCATCTGAAAAATGTACTGTTAACAGAGACCTGCCCCAAATGGGGCAGTTGGTAATATTGTCCAATATTCTTGGGTGGAAAGTGCAATAAAAAGTTACATTATTTAATCATTTTATGAATTATAATTTATTCATTGTTTGCAACCAGAACACCAAAGATATTAATCACATTTTCCTTTTCATTTCCTAGATACATCTCAAAACTTAATCCCCACCCCAAATTCCCCTACAGTAAAAGCAAATACTGTCAATTAATATTTTAGTTGGTATTATCCCTGTATTTAATTGCATATATATAGTCAATGCACAGGAAGATTTTGTGCTCAAGGATGCTTTCAGCTGAACTGATTAAATATTTATGAATAAAACTAGTTACACAAGTAATATTTTAGCTTGAGAGATGTTTGATGGTCTGTGTGTATAATATTAAAATGAATAGACAACTAAAAAGCTATGAATAGATTTTGTTTCTGAAAAAAATGAAATAGTCATCTGTTTAGTGCATGCATAGTGCATGCATATATCAAAGTTGATTGCTTTTAGAGTCTCATGGCTTGGATTTGATCAAATATTTGTTATAAATTTGAGGCTAGAGTATGATTAGCCCGATCTGGATGCACAGAGTGAAGAAGGGAAGGTACCATGAGCCTTTTCCTTTTTGTATGCACTTATAACGGCAAGACACATACAGATTAGGGAAACTGATCCCTTGCTAGGGTTGACCAGGACCAGTCACATTTTTAAAAACATTAAATGTACTTGTTTTTAAACAGGACCTGGCAGCAAGTGAAATCCATGTCACTTAAAAGGAGTGAGTTCACATGCATTAAACCACAACCTATTATGCTAGTTTAGACTTGGCACCAGAGTGCAAGAACAGGGAGAGACCAATAGCCATGGTCAATTATATGGTAAAAGAATTTTTAAAATGGTAAATTTCATTTTTCAGATATTTACATCTGAAATTTCACAGTGGTGTAATTGTAGGGGTCCTAACCCAAAAGGAGTTGTGTAATGGATTACATGATTATTTGTATGGGGGATGCAGTATTGCTACTCTTACTTCTCTGCTCCTCCTGATGGCAGCTCTGCCTTCAGAGCTGGATTCCTGGCCAACAGCCGCCGCTGTCCAGCTGTGAAGGCAATGCTGCTGCCAGCAGCAGTGGAAAAGTAAAGATGGTATGGTATGGTATTGCCACCCTTACTTCTGTACTGCCATCTGCAGAGCTGCGCCCTTAGTCCGCAGTTGCCACTCTGGCTGCCAAGCTCTGAAAATAGCAGTACAGAACAAGGGTGACCTGGATATAGTGTTATTACCTTGATTGCTGTACTGCTTCTGGCAGGGTACTGCTTTCAGAGCTGGGCACCAGACTA